ACAGGGCACCACTAGGCTCCTCCCCAAAGCTGATCCAGCTTGGTAAGACCCACCAGACCTTATGTTCTGCTGTCACAGCCTTTAAAAACCTGGGATTGTCCCCATCCTATGAGGATGCCACAGGCAGAGGACTTTAGTAGGGGAGGGCATAATCACAGGACTGCAGGAGTCAGACCTGGAATAGGTCTTAGAGAAAACTAGGAATCACAGGAGCAGGGTTGGAATCCCAGCTGTGTTTCTTACTCTCTGGGTGATTGGGGCGAATCACTCCACCTGTCAGCCTCAGTTTCCTCATCTGTAAAATGAGAGGGTTGGGCCAGCAAAACTCTAAAATCTCTTCCAGAACTTTATCTATGAGCCTATGAATTCTAAACCCCCTCATTTTACAGATGAGAAATAGGGCCATAGAGAGGTGATGTGCCAGTAAGATGGCTTGCCTTTGTACATGAATGGAATCCACACTCTATTTCTCTGCCACAAAGGCTCCCCAGCTTCCTTCAAAGCCCATCTTAGCTTCCTTCTTCCTCATAAGACCTTTTCCAATCACACTGGTTGCTTTCGCTTTCCCTCTTGTATCACTTGCTGTATACTCTGTATTTATTGATTTCCACACCTGTTGTATCTTCCCAGTAGAATATAAGCTCCCCGAGGGCAACCCTAGCATCTATCACTGGACCCATCACAAAGTAAATGCTTATTTATCTGAATTGAATTGAAATGAATCTGGTCTTCTGACACCAAATCCCCTTTCTCTGACACAAAGCTGTCTTTCCAATCCAAGAACATCTCTTGAGACCAATAAAAATAGAGGGGTCAGGGTAGAGGAGAGAGTTAGAGATGAGAGACACACAGAGAGACAGATGCAGACACAGACAAAAGAACAGAGCATGGCCCAAGAGTCAGGGTGCCTAGCTTCTATTTTCAACTCTATGAGAATGTCACTGTTTCTTTTTGGGGGAGTCACAGGCCCCCTCTGAAATCCCAGCCACTATTAAATTGTTAAATATTTCTGCAGAATCTTCAGATGGTTGCATTCAATCAACAAGTATTTATTGAATGTCTACTATGTGTCTGACACCATGCTTGGTGTCCGACATACAAAGACAAATAATGAAACATTAAAAGGGCTTTTTAAATCTGAGGTTTCTTCATCTTTCAACTGTTATGAAACATCATGGTAGATTCAGTGGAAATGTGAAAAACATGAACAGGTTTCATTAGCTTTCCAGAGGCTGGGAAGATTATGGGGGAGAGGGGAACGCAGAAAAATCAGCCAGTGAAGAACAGGGACATTAAATCTCTGATGTCTAAATATAAGGAAGTTGGGTCATGGGGTTCTGTACTGATGGGAGGGGTGCATGGAGAAAAGGGAATGGGAATCATGTGCTGAAAAATCATAAAATCTTTGAGGACTCCTGAAGCAGAGAGAGAGAGAGAGAGACAGAGACAGAGACAGAGACAGAGACAGAGACAGAGACAGAAAGAGATACAGAGACAGACAGACAGAGAATGAGTGATACCATCAAGAAAGTGAAAATATAGATGCTCTGCTCTGCTCAAGAAGCCCCACTAGCTTCTAATATCCTCTAGGAGAAACATATGCTGTTGTGTTTGCCTTTTCAAACCCTCCACAACCTGCCTTTCCAAATTTATTCCATACTCCTCCTCCTCACTCTGCAGTCCTGTCCCCCACCCCATCCCCAACTGTTCCTTAAACATTCCATTCCATCTCCCCTCAAAGACACAGGTCTTTGCAAAGGCTGCTTCCCATGCCTTCAATGCGTTACCTCTTCATTGCCACCATTTAGAATCCCCCAATTTTCTTCAAAGCTCATCTTGAAAGCTTCCTCCTATGGGCAGCCTTTCATGATTCCTACCATTCCTGCCAATGCCACCCAGTTGCCAATGTCTACCCCTGAAATTTCCTTGTTTCCACTCTGTATATATTTTGTGGGTCTTCTCACAGCTTGTCCCACACATAGAATGCTAATCTCTTGAGGACAAAGATTGTTTTGTTTTTGTCTTTGCATTTAAGCAGGTGCTTAATAAATACTTGCAGATGGATTGCTATGTGAAGTTGGGCAAGCCACTTCCTCTCTCTGGGCCTCAGTTTCCTTTTCTGTAAAATAAGGGCTCAGCAGGGAGAATCCTTTACAGCTCTACAATGTTATGACTCTGCGAGTTCTGAGGGCACACAGATCCAGGGCACTTCCTACCCTTTTCTAGGAGGGGAAGGTAATAGATCAGTAAATGTTTGTGGACTTGATTGATTTTCCCAACCTGCTTGGAGGAAGTGCATAGTATCATAGATGGAGAGCTAAAAAGGACCCAACAGATCCCTAATCCAATCCTCTCATTTTATAGTTGGGGAATCTAAGACCAAGATGGAATGACTTGTCCTTGGTCACACAGACATTATCAGAGATGGGATTTGAATCCAGGTTCTCTGATTAGAAAAAGAAATGCCAAGCCACTCCAGTGTCCTTGCCAAGAAAACCCCAAACAGGGTCACAAGGAGTCAGACACAACTGAAAAAATGACTGAACAACCTTGGATCCAGTCCTCATCCCACGGTATCCCATTGCCTCACCTTGCCTCACATTATCCAACCCTGAGAAGACATCGGCCACTAGGCCTGGATAAGTTTAATCGGGTCAAAGGATTTGAAGCTAAAATGGACCTTACAAGTCATTTTACAGACGAGGAAATGGAGGCTGAAAGAGGGAGTCTTCCCATGGCCACACAATTAGAAGACTGGGATTGGAACCCAATTATCTTTAAATCCAGGGCTCTTTCCATTGCTATCACCCAAAGGAGAGCCACCCACACACAGCAGCTCAGGGAAGAGGGGGCCAAAACACTTGACGCGGTCATGGTTTTTCAGATTTCTTTTCTAACTTTCATGTTGGGCCAGGAATTGCCTCCCTGCCCCCACCCTGCTTTCCAAATGGGAAAACAGAGGCCCCAAGGGGCTAAAAACCTTGCTCAAAGGCACATAATTAGCAGCAGAGCTAGGCCTCAGACTCAGGCTTCCCAATGGTCAGTCAAGAATACTTTCTTTACTCCCAGCCTCAGTTTACCGCCTAAGATTCTAGGGGTGAGGATGAGTGCAGGAGGAAGGACAGGATCTGGGGAGGCAGCAAGATGCCCTGGAAACAGCAGTGGATTTGAATCTGGGTTGGCATCCTAACTTTGCAACTTTTTTTTTTTATTTTTTGGTGAGGCAATCGGGGTAAGTGACTTGCCCAGAGTTACACACGGTGCCACTTCTTAACTATGTGATGTTGGGCAAGACCCTTCCCTTCCTTGGGCCTCAGTTTCCTCCTCTGTAAAATGAGGGGGAGTTGGACCAGATGGGCTCTAAAGGCCTTTCCAGCTCTAAACCTAAGGTCATACGATACAAGGGTTGGACTTCTAAGTTTCCTTTCAGCTCTAAACGTGTGCCTCTCTGAACAGGGGGAGCTTGGAGGAGGGTGGGAGAAAGAGATGGAGTGAGGCGGCCAGCTCAGGCTGGGTGCCTCTTGAATCACTCCATCCTCTCCAAGCCCAAGGATGCCGAAGGGAGTCGGAGCCCCTTCTCAGCAGGCACGTTCTTTGTCCATGTGCTCTGCGCGGCTGGGTCTGATATCTGAGACCGGAGTGTTTATGCTGCAGGAGGCAGAGGAAGAGGAGGAGGAGGAAGGCAGTGGCCGCTTCTCCGAAGGACAGTGGGAGACGTGTGTGTGTGTGTGTCGGGGCGGGGGGCGCTCCTCTTCTTTCCCACAGGGCCAGCAGTTTTCTCAGCCCCTGGGAGGGGGGAGGTAACCAGCGACTTTGCGCCTTCTCTTGGGGGCAGCCGCGGCCGGGGGCCCGGGCTTTGCGGTCTGGACTCCGGAGGGTTTTCCGACACTCTCTGGGAACAGGTGGTCCCATCGCAGGCTCGCTGCAGACGCAGGGTCCGATCTGCATCCTGCCGGTCGCCTGGACCAGCCAGCCTCCTGCCTCTCCATCCTCACCTGTGCGAGGCAGGGGAGGGCAGGCGACTTGGCGAGCCCCAGTCACGGTGCCTACACCGAGGGGCCGAGGGGCCGCCCATGCCACATCCCAGGCCCCCCCCCCCACCCCCCGCCACCAACCACAGCCACACGCCTGTGCACGAGGAGCTAGCTGACTGCGGCTGGCCTGGAGGCCTGGGGGTGTGCCTGCGGGGGAAGGTGGGGCGGGGGAGGGGCCGAGCTCCCAGCCCCGACCGCTGATTGGCGGAGACCGGGGCTAGGGGGTGTGGTGCTGGGGCCGGGGGGAGGGGAGGAGGGCCAGCCGGCTATAGAGACTGCAGAGCCAGGAGGATTGGAGGCAGCCGGGACTCAGCCATCCGGCAGAGCGCTGGGGGAGGCTGAACCGAGCGAACGCACCGACAGACAGACAGACAGACAGACAAGGAGTCCAAGGGCAGCGGCGCGAGTCGCAAGGGGCAGAGCCCTGGGGCAACCCCTTCCAAAACGCGTCCCCCCAGCTAAACCCCGGGAGACAGCTCAGCCTCCCCGAAGGGGAGAGTTAGTGACAGAGACAGCCGGCAAAGTTCCCACGGTGACTTTGGGGGCTGGCAGGAGGGTCCAGAAAGGGGCTGAGAAGAAGCAGAAGAAGACTGAGACCCAGTCCGGAGAGAGCTTGGAGGGGGAAAGCCTCCCAGGTGACCCTCCGTCCTCCAGAGGCCTCTAGGAAAGCCTCTCCCACTCCCCACAGGTTTCCGACACTCGCTCCTAGGTGGTCAGTCCTCCAGGACGACCGGCAGCTCTTTCCGGTGCTTCGGACAGAGCCCGAGGCCAGCCAAAGGGCGGGGAGGAAGGAGCCCGCACGGGGCTACCGCGGGGTCTCTGGGTTCCCAACCGGTCAACCCGGACGGCGGGCGCAGAGGGCTCCAACCTCCCCTTCACCTGGACAGAGCGGAGGGAAGCAGGCAGCTAGGAAAGCGGGGACGGGGCCAACTTGGAAACCTTCTAAGAGAAGGTGGGGGGGGGCGGGGAACAGACCAAGGAGATCCATCCATAGGAAAAGGGGAGAACTGAGTGAGCTGAGGGCGCAATTGTTTGCCAGGGCGCATGCATTTGGCAACCCCCCGACACCTGCCTTCGGTAAGCACGCATTGCTCTCCGCCTCCCCCCCACCCCCCATTCGGCTAGTGATCAGCCAGAGCAGACACACCCCCACCTCCACTCCCCACCTCACCCCACCTTCCAGTCCCTGGCTGCCGGATTTATTCGCTCTGCCTGTTTGTGGAAGAAGGCGATTTGGGGAGGCTGCTCAGAGCTGCGCCTTAGAGTCGTCCTGAGGCCAGCGGCGCCCTCAGAGCGCACTCCCATGGGGTTCAAGTCTTCGGAGCCTCCTCACCCATCTCAGCCCATCCAGGCTAGCCCAGCAGCGGGGAGACCCCGGGGCCAGTGACTTGGAACTTCAAGGGCGAGAGCAGCGATCGCCCGTCACCCCGCAGCCTCCAACAGGCTTCAGGACAAAGCACTGTAGCTGCATCAGGGGGTCGGGACTGCCCCCTCCACACCCAGGTAAGAGAGAGGGCTATAGACACAGTGCAAGGCAGCAGGACGGAAAGGGGCCGTCTCCTCTAGAGATACAGGATAATACATTTGGACTCAAAAGGGACCTTAGAGATCTTTGACCGTACCTCTCCCCTGTTTTACAGATGAGGAAACTGAGGTCCGGGGACGTTGAATTTGCCCAGGGTCACACAGCTCGTATTTGCAGAGGAATCTAAACCCAGGGCTTCCTGACTAGTCCAGGGCCCTTTCAATGCCCCGCACTACCTTAACCTCTCCTTCTGAGGACGAAATTAGCAAGTGGGTGGGGGCGAGAGAACTGAATCCCTGAGGCTTTCTGTCCTGTCCACGGTTTATTGCACCCACAAGGGACAAGGAAGGAAACGGGCATATATCAGACAAGGGAGAAACCCTTGGCTTGATAACCGGTGTCGAAAGGTTGAAAAAACTGTCTGCAGGGGATGTTTACCTCCAAAGGAAAAGGAAGAACCAGGACATAGCTCTGAATGCAAATGCTCTCTCTCTCTTGTTTTTTGTTGTTATTTTTAATTTACTTTCCTTCTCAAGTTGTAGGGGCCATCAAGGGGAGGAGGGAGAGTCAGTTTCCTCCTTCGTAAAATGAAGGTACCTCTGAGGTTCTTTCTAGCTCTGATCCTAAGGTCCTTGGTTAAACCCCAGTCCTTCTGGGTCTCAGTTTCCTCCCCCGTAAAAGGAAGGGGTCGGACTTCACGACCTCTGAGGTTGCTTGTAGCTCTGTATCTATAATCCTGTGTCCCTCGAGGACCTGTGTGGGGCTGCAGGACTGAACTGAGCTTGGCTCTGGGAGGGGATTCTTACCGGGACCTTGCTTAACAAGAACTCTCCTTCCTATTAACCTTTAAGGTCTTCAACGCTCTTTCCTCACAACAACTATGTGGGGTATGTGTGTTGGGGAGAGAGGGTTATTATCCCTATTTAACAGATGGGGAAACCAAGGCCCAGAAAAGGGAAGTGACTTTCCCAAGGTTGAAGAGCTGGTGTTAGATCTATTTAAACCTAGGGTTGCCTAACTTTTAACGCTGGTGCTCTTTCCACTGACCCACACTGCCTCTCTCACCCTGCCACAGGCACGGCTGTCTACAGCAGCAGCAGTAGAGAACGTTCGCTTCAGTTGAAGCAGAAACTGAGGTTTCAAGCAGAAAGGTTGATGGGTGGTTCCTAGGTTCATGGGATCATAGACTTGGAGCTGGAAGGGACCTCAGCTAAGCCAGCTAGGCCAACCCCCTCATCTTACAGATAAGGAAACTGAGGCACAGAGGTTTGTAATGATTTGCCGGAGATCATATAGTTAGTAAACAACAAAGTTGAGCTTGAATCTTATGAACTCCCCAGAAAGGATTAGGATCTTTCCCAAGGTTACACAGGAATTGAGGTACGGTGGGGAAAATGGAAAGGGGCTGAATTTGAAGTCAGATGCCCAGGTTCTGAAATGAAGACCTGACAATAAGCATCAGAGGTTTTCCCTTTCTGGGCTTCAGTTTCCTCCTCTGTAAAATAAAGGGGCCAGGCTAGATGACCTTCCAGTCCTTCTCTGGGCCTCAGTTTCCACATCTGTTCATTGAGGGGGTTGTACTAGATGGCCTCTGAGGTCATTTCCAGCTCCATGTCTGTGGTCCTATAATTCTGGGAAAAGGGAGTCATCAAGGGAACTTCATCTCTGAGGTAAACAGATTAGGAGGAAGAGACAGGAGGCGACTCTCAAAACAGTGCCAGCCAAGGCAGTGCCCACAAGCCAGCTAGACATCAGACTCAAGGAGGTCACAATCCTAGCCATGCGTTATGGAAGGCACGTCATGGGGCTGCTTGCCCAGTGCCAACAGACCAAGGAAGGTTCCAATGTAACAGAATAATAGTGTGTCTATTCGGGGACGCTGGATGGCAAAAGTCACCACTCAGTCCTCTTCAGGATGTTCCCTCGATGCAAGGAGAATTGAAACCATCCAGGGCAGGGTGTGTCTAAAGAGGCTACTTTCCTGGGCCCTGGGAGCCATTTTCACCCAGGCATGATCTTGGATTAGCAGAAAGGGCCCAAGGTTCCAAGGATAATCCTCAAAATGTTTCTCTTTGCTTCTGGAGTCAAATAGGATCCTAGCTCTAGACCTCAGAGGCCATTGGGTCCAACCCTGTCACTTTACAGATGGGGAAACTGAGGTCCAGAGAGGTTAAGGCACTTTTCCCAAGTCACACATGGAGTAAGTTTATAGGGACTTGAATCCAGAGCCTCTGACTTCCCAGCCCCTGGTATCCTTACCTTGGTTGCACATTGACCGTGCTTTTTATCCTGACTCTGACTCCACCTTGGCCAGTTGAATTTTAGATCACTTAAAAGGCCAGACCCAAATCTTTGATCTTATGAACCTTAATATCCTCATGCTCTGGAATTCAGGCAGACTGCTCAGGAGGAAGGGACCACGGTCAATCCCAGGATTTAGTGTTGGAAGGGACCTTTGAAATCCCTGGGTCCCATTTGACAGATGAGGAAACTGAGGCCCACAGAGGGAAGCTGGGAACTGGACTAGCAATTGTACAGATTGTCAACTCCTCTAGAATGTGCAGGAACTGTTCCACTCCTGTCTTTCTCTCCCTAAAGCCTAGAATCTTGCTGGACACATGGGAGGGCTTTGGTGAGTAAGTTATTGATTCTCCTGAAAAGCCAGTTGTAGATTACTGAGAGCTGATTGTAGCAGGTTCCTAGAGGTTGGCTTTGACATGAGGGAGTAAAGGATGAGGGATGAGGGTCACTGCTGCTCAGGAGTTTCAAAGAGTCATTCTCCCCATAGGATACTAAGATCGCTTTCATCTAGTCTGGACCTGTATCTAAATCACTCTAGCGATTGTGTGGGTGGGTAGGTATTTGTGCGTGTGTATGGGGGAGAGTGTAATGTCTATCATTCCCTAGAGAATCTAGCACTCCCCACCCCACCCCCCATCTTTCCATTGGATGGCAGCATGAGGAGGTGGAAGGAGCTGGGATCTGGCCTTGAGTTCAAGTCTTGGCTTTGGACAACACTTCTGAAGGCCCTTTGTGCCCTGACGTTCTCATGCTAATCAGTGCTGGTCTCATAGTCTTCAGGGTAGGGGTCTCACCAGTGAGGTTTAGCAAGGAGAAGTGGGAAGTTTCCCAGACGTAGCAGCTTCAGCTCCTTCTCTCTGCTTCTCTCTCCCCCATCTTCCTTCCCTTCCTCTTGTCTTCTTTCCATCTTCCTCCTGCTTCTCCCTCTGTTTCTTCCTTCTTTGGTGTCTCTCCTCTTCCTCTCCTCCCCTTTCCTTCTTTTTCTACCCCACTCTGTCTTTCTGTCATCTCCCTCTCCCTCAAATCTTTCTTCTCTCTCTGTCTCTGTCTGTCTCTCTGTCTGTCTCTCTCTGTCTCTCTTTCTCTGTCTGTCTGTCTGTCTCTCTCCCTCCTCTCTTCTCTTAGCTCGAAGGGACCTTAGATGGTCAGAACTGAAATGGACCTTAAAACAAGGAATATTTCCCCCCTTCCTCCTCTCTATCTCTCTCATTTCTCCCCCTCATATCTCTGTCTCCCTTTCTCTGTTCCTCTCTCATATCTTTCTCCATTTTTCCCTTCCCCCTCTCTTTCCCTTGCCTCTCTCTCCTCTTCTTTCCTCTTTTCCCTTATCTCCAACTCTCTCCACCTTCTGGGTTTCTTTCATCTTATTTCCTTCCTCTTCTATTTTCTCCTCATTTTGTCTCTCTCACTTATCACTTCTCTTTCATTCTTTCCTTTCCTCCTTCCCTCCCTCCCTCCCTTCTTTCCTTCCTTCCTTTCTTCCTACTTTCCTCCCTGCCTGTCTCTCTCCCCTTTGTCTTCCCTGTTTCTCTCATCTCTATCATTCTGTCTTTTTCTCAACATATTAGCTGATAACTAAATAGAGAACTGTACAAAATAAAAACAATGATTTCTTTATGGGGGGTCAAAAAAGAGCTAATAATTGAGGAAAGCACAAAAGACCTCTGAAATGAGGTACTTAAGGAAGTTTTCAGGCCCGAAGGAAATGTTTCATGCTAGCCTGGACAAAGGCTTGAGATGGGAAATGGAGTGTGCCTGCCAAAGTATGGTGCGGAAAGTACTGGATTTGTTTTCCTAGGATGTGGGTTTATAGGGTCATAGGGTCTTGGTGTATAGAATGAACTTATCTAGTCCAATCCCCTTATTTGGCAGAAGAGGAAACTGAGGCCAAGAGGGAGAAAGTGATTCAGTCAATGTCATCCAGTTAGAAAAGTAGAAAAGGCGAGAATCAAACCCTGACCTTTGGCCTCTAATTCCTGAGGGTCAGGGTGGGGTGGAAATAGAATGTTTCCTCTTAGGGACACAGTGGATGAACCTTTGGGCCCCTGGAAAAAGCAGACTGTGAATCCTGAGCAGGGCTATATCAACAAAAATGTCCTCTTTCCCTGCTCCCTCCAACCTAAAGGAAAGTTAGCATCAGCCCCAGACCTGCGTGGCAGGACCAGCCGATAGGGATGAGGGTCAGGCTGCCAAAGAAGTCTGGGGTCAGGAGTCCATTTAATTAAACCATGGGTCTGGTTGGGTCAGGGGGAGCTCAGAGGGAGGGGGATGGCCAGAATGGCAAGGATTTGATTTCATCCACTTTGAATTTCTATCCTGACTTCCAGCCCTACCTCCTATGCCTTCTCCTCCAGGAAGCCTGCCCTGATTGCCTGAAAGAAGGGCTCTTCCTTTCTGCATACTTGACATAGCAGTAAGATGCAAAGTTTGTCTTGCTTCATCTTTCTAAATCTCCTAGTGTGGAGCAGAGTGCTCTGCAGCCAGGAAGCACCCCAAACATGCCTGTTTGATGAACATAGTCACCACTGCTCCAAAGCTCAGGGGCCATCAGTCCAACCCCCTTATTTTACAAAAGAGGAAACTGAGGCCCACAAAGGGTAAGGGCCTTGCCGGTGACCACACAGCCAGTAGGCCTCAGAGGCAGGATTTGAACCCAGATCCTCTGATTCCAAGTCCACTGCTTTTTTCACTGTACCCCATAAATGAATTATCAATACAGCAAATATTTATTGGAGATCTACAATGAATAACAATAACACTTGCTGGCATTTATAGAACCCTTTGAGGTTTGCAAAAGCACTTTACAAATATGATCTCATTTGATCCTGTCAACAACTCTGTGAAATAGGAACTGTTGTTATCCCCATTTTATAGATGAGGAAACTGAGGCAGAGAGAGCTGAAGGAACTCCGCCAGGGTCACCCAGGTAACAAATATCTGAGGCAGAATCATCTTCTGACAATCATTCCAGGCTTTTTTTTTTTTTTTTACCACAAATGAATGAATGAAATATTCCAGGCTTTTTGTGAGGCTCGAATGAAATAATGTATGTAAATCACTCTGCAGGCCTTCCAGCACTATAGAAATGCCAGCTATTATTATAATTCTATGCTAATATTCCAGTGGGAGAGAAAGAATGAGACATATTTCTATCTAATAACGAGACAAGGAGGGATTAAACACATTCCATCTACATGTATATGAACCAAAGTACTGTGTAAGAGTATAGGACAGAAGAGATGCTTCTGACTTGGGGCACCAGGGCAATCAGGGAAGGCTTCAAGAAAGAGGTGACAATTTGAGCTAGGCCTTGAAGGTTCAGGAGGATGGGTGTGGGAGAGGGCTGGGAGAGGAAGCTGAAGAAGCAATAAGGCAAAATGTTTCAGAAAAAGGGATTGATAGGAGCTCAAGTTGTGTGGAATAATTCCAGGTATATCAGTCTGGCTATGGGAGATAAGTCTGAAAAGGTAAACTCAGAAGCAAGCATGGAAGGCCTTGAATGCCAAGATTAGGTGTCTGAATTTGCTCTGATAGGGAATCAGAAGCCCCTGGAAGGTCTGTTTTCTGTTTCTGGCTCTGAGCTTGTAGGTATTGATGATGATGGTGATGGTGAGGATTATAGCTTCCATTTATATAATGCTTTAAGGTTTGCAAAAATAAATAAAATAAAATAAATTTTAAAAAAGATTTGTAAAACATTTTATACATTATCTCATTTGGTCCTCACAATAAACCTGGGAAGTAGATGTTATTATTATCCCCATTTTATGGATGAGGAAACTGAGGTAGACAGAGGTTAAGTGACTTGCCCAAGGTCACAGTACTAGTAAGTGTCTTGGCTGGATTTGAACTCAGGTCTTTCTGACTCCAAGTCCAGAGCTCTCATAACTGTGGCACCCCCAGCTGTCTATCTTGTTTTCAAAGACCTTTAGCAAAGATATTTTCCCAGCTGGGCTCTCATGCCCATTCCAGTGTTTACTAGCCCCTGGGGAAATTTCTTCTTCCTCTCTACCCTTAGCCTTTCTGGCCAGAGGATGAACGTGGATCTTCCTGCTCCCTTATTTTCCGTGGCATCTTGCAGGTTGACAGACCTGAGCAGGACAAACCTAAGAAGTCCAGCCCTGAGGCTTGGGGAGGGAAGGGCAGTGCCTGGGGCTCTGAGGGGTTTAGCAACACAGTTCGGAAACTGAGGATGATGCCGAGCCTTGCACCTAAAACCAAACCTTCTCCACCGGGAGAGAGGGTTATTTCCTGCCCCATCAAACTCCACACTCCATGAAATAAAGAGAACAGAGAAGGCCCAGAGATGGTGGTCACCCTAAAAACCTCCTTATGTGATTCTGTCTATCCAATAAACCCACCCTTGTCCTTTGTCTATGCCCTGAACCAGCCCCTGTCTCCATGTCTTAGGATCATAGAATCACAGAATGTCAGAGCTGGGAGAAACCTTGGAATGTGGAATGTTAGGGCTGGGAAGGAACTTAGCACAGAGGATGTCATGAAATATCAGAGCTGGGAGGGACCTTAGAACAGGGAATGCCAGGGTTAGGAGGAGCCCTAGAACAGGGGATGTCAGGGTTGGGAGGGCCCTTAGAACATGGAATATTCAAGCTGAAAAGGAGAAAATCACAAAAACCAAAGGGCTAGAATGAGTCTTAGACATCGCCCAGTCCAATTCCTTACCTGGACAGGCGTTCTCTTGACAACCTTCTCAATAAAACAATCATTGAAAGTCAGAGCTGGAAGAGGCCTCCAAGAGGATCTGTCTCACCTCTAGACTTTAGGCCTCTTAATTGTGCTTCTCACACTCTTTTCTTCCCTCCCTCCCCACCAGCCCTAAGCCATGATGAAGACGACGTCCAGTGGGAACTGCGCGCTCAGTGTGCCCGCCAAAAATTCCTACCGCATGGTGGTCTTAGGGGCCTCACGGGTGGGCAAGAGCTCTATCGTCTCCCGGTTCCTCAATGGCCGCTTTGAAGATCAGTACACCCCCACCATCGAGGACTTTCACCGCAAGGTCTACAACATCCGAGGGGACATGTATCAGCTGGACATCTTGGACACATCAGGCAACCACCCCTTCCCAGCCATGAGAAGGCTGTCCATCCTCACAGGTGAGGGCCTGGAAGGGAGGAGGCCAAGGGTGACTGACAGTTCCGTCCCTTGAGGGGAGAGAGGAGGGTCACCAAGGCAAGCTACTTTCCCTCTCAGCCTCAGTTTCCTCATCTGTAACAAGAAGGGGTGATCTCTAAGGCTCTTTCCAGCTCTAGCACCTTATGATCTTAAGACCACAGGCCTCCTTGGCCATTCACCTGATGGTGGTGCTTCAGGCTTTGTAGGAATAAGAAACAAAAGAGACCTCAGAGTTCATCTTGTCCAACTCCATTTTTTCAGATGGGGAAACTGAGGTGTGGGGGACAATAGGAGGAGGGATTCGATTGCCTAAGGTACTCTGTTGTTGATTAGCAGAGCCAAGATTCAAACCCTGTTCCTTTGACAGTGATCTTGCCTTCTGCCTGGGGTAGTCAAGGAAGGCTCCTTGGACTTGAGCTGCACATCTAAGGCTAAGGAGGACCTGAATAATGAAGGCAGTGAGAGATAATCTAAGCAGAAGGAGAGAGGCAGGAAAACATAAGGTGTGCCAAGCAGTCAGCGAACAGGCATTTATTAGGCACCTACTATATTCCAGACACTTTGCTGAGCACTGGGGATTCAGAAGGAGGCAAAACACAGGAAAAACATCTTAGAATCCTAAGTTCTCCAGGCAGTCTGGAACAAATCCCTTTCAATCATTCAATCAACAAAGAAGCTCCTCTGTGCCAGGCACCGTTCCTGGCGCTGGTGATACAAAGACAAAAGCCAAACAGTCCCTGTCCTCAAGGAGCTTCCAGTCTACTAAGCACAACTCCAATGAATTGGCTCAAAATCCATCCATGGCTGCTCATCTTGGGTAACTCTGGTCAATCAATCAAAAAGCATCTATTAAGCACTTATTACATGCCAGGCGCTGTGCTGAGCCCTTCCTCATGTCCACCATCTCATTTGACCTTCGTTGTAGGAAATGCAGAACAGGAATAACATTCCTGTTGTAAAGGCCCAGAGAGGATGAGAGACTTGTCCAAGGTCACACAGCTAGGAGCCTGGGAGTGGACCCCAAGTCTCTAGATCCTTTGTGTTGTGCTCCTGATGATGAGGGACCCCGAGTAAGGTGAATCAGGACAAATATATAACCTCCATCCGTTGGAAAAACAGCTCAGAGAGCTGGCTTGGCCATGAGTCAGCGCTGGTGTTTCTGTATGCAGAGGAGAGCTCAGTGACTGATGGGTAGTTGCTGGAGCAGCACAGCCCACAAAATATGCCCCATTAATACTGCATGACATGGTGAGGAGGGGGTGCACCAGGAGTGCTTTCCCTGACATTGTAACCCATCAGGGGCTCAGACCCAAACACATCCAATTCAATAAATGAAACATGCATTTCTATTTAGTGCAGGTGTGGTGGGGGGGGCGGGGAAGGGGGAGCCAGAGTCCTTCCCTGTAATTCTGTGGTGCTCAGCTAAGAGTCTGGAAATCAGAGGGTTCTCATCCTGGCATCCTGGCCACCTGACTGCTCCTGGACAAGTCACTGACACTTCTCTCAGCCTCAATTTCTTCCTTTTATAAAAAGCAAAAGGCTTGAGTCTAATCTCTCTACAGCTCTGAATCCTGGGAGCTAAGAGCTCATAGGAACCTCATTCCTGACCTGAACCTTGATGGGAGTTAAGCATTCTGAGAAGCCCGTGCTAGGAAGGAGTGTACTATACTATTTGGGATATCTCAGCAAACGGAAAACAGGATGGACCCTGAACACTTGGGCAAAGAGACCCATGGAAGTGTGACGTGGCCCAGAGCAGGTGAGGGAGGAAGTAGGGAAAAAGACAGAAACATCCCCCTCCCCCCAAGATATGGTGAATCCAGGTGCTCGTTCTGAGGCCCAGGTTTTGCCCTCTCCCCGTGAGCCAGCATTGAGTAGGGATTCAGGGAGAAAGGAGGTATGCTGGCTTGTCCTATTGCTGAGACCTGCTGAGGCCCTAGTATGTGCAGCAAGCCCGCCACCCCACAGCATCTCCCCCATTGCTCCTGGACTGTCTGATCCCTTCCAACTTACAGCCTTTCAAGTACAGGAACACACTTACTATGCGCCTGAGTTTTCCCTTCTCCAGGCTTATTCCCGATTCCCTTACCAAGCCACATGAGACAAGATCTTGAGGTCCTTCCCTATCCCGACTCTCCTCCTCACGACAGCTTTTCAGCGTCCTTCCTGGAGGCAGTTAGGTGTTACCACGGTGCACAAAGTTCCAGATCTGAAGTCAAGAAGACCTGAGTTCAGATCCAGCTTCAGACACTGGCTATCTGTGTGACCCTGCGCAACTCACATAATCTCTGTTTGTCTCAGTTTCCTCAACTGCAAAAGAGAATAATACTACCACCTACCACTCAGGGTTGTTGTAAAGATCAAATGAGGTAATATTTTAAAAAGAACCAGCACATAGTGACCCTATGTTCTAATCCTACCTACTACTAGATAGTAAGTGCTTAATGAATAGTTATTTCTTCCCTAAATTCTGATACCTGGTATTCAACACCAAACCCCACATATGGTCTGACGAGGGCAGACAGACTCAAACCTCCCTCGCTCCTGGGCATTACGCTTCTCATAATGTGGCTGGTGCCTTTTACTGTGGAGTCCACTAAAGCCTCCAGAATTCTGTCCTTTCATGCTTCTCATAGCTTGTTCTTGTGAAATTGATTTTTTGGAACCCAAGAGGAACACTTTACATTAATCCCTATTCCATTTCACCCCAATGCTGGAGCCTGTCAAGGTCTGGGGGGATCCTGACATCATCCAAGATGTAAGTTTTTCCTCCTAGCTTTGTATCCTTTGAAGAGCAGGAGGGCAATTCCTTTGTTCAAGTCATTGATAAAAAAGTGTTAAATCATATGGGGCCAAGAACAGATCCTTGGGGCACTTCACTGGAGACCTCCTTCCAAGATGTTGTGTAACCACAAACGAGGATTCTTTGAGACTAGCCATTTAACCAGTTCCAAATCCATCTAATTGTACTAGTGGTTCTCAAACTTTGTGGTCTCAGGACGCCTTTATACTCTTAAAATCATTGAGGACCCCTCTCCATAATTGAAGACTCATCTCAAAGAGCTTCTGTTTTGGTGGGTCATATCTATCAACATTTACCATATCAGAAATTAAAACATTTTTGGTTTTGGTTGTTGAGTCATTTCAGTCATGTCTGGCTCTTCCTGATCCCATTTGGGGTTTTCTTAGCAAAGATACTGGAGTAGTCTGTCATTTCCTTCTCCAGCTCATTTTACAGATAAGGAAACTGAGGCAAATAGGGTTAAGTGACTTGCCCAGGGTCACAGAGCTGGTAAGTGTCTGAGGCTATATTTGAACTCAGGAAGATGAGTCTTCCTGACTCTAGGCCACTGTGTCACCTCGATGTCCCTAATTAAAACATCTTAGTATTAGTAGGAAAATAGTTTTGACCTTGCAGACCCCCTAAAAGGGTCTCAGGGACCCCTGGAGGTCCTCAGACCACACTTTGAGAACTACTGACCTGGACCATGTGGGACAGACAGAATTCAGAGATTGACTTAGAGCTGGAAGGCACCTCAGGGGCCATCCAGTTCAACCCTGTTGTTTTACAGATGGGGAAATTGAGGCCAAGATACCATGAGACTAAAAAATCTTAGAACTGGAGCTGGAAGGGACCTCCAAAGCTGTCTAGTCCAACTTTGTTATTTATAGAGGAGGAAACTGAGGGCCCAAGATCAGACAGGGAGTAAATGGCAAAGCAGGTATTGAACCCAGGTTTCCTGACTCCAAATTCAGCACTACCTCTTTCAGCTCTCTGTCTTTCCCACAAGGAGAGCCAAAGAGATACTTTGACAAATACTTTGCTACAATTTAAGCATAGCAGTCTCTCGGTCTAACCACTTAGTCACCCTATCAATAAAGAAAATGAGGTTTAGCATGGCATGATCTGCTCCCTTCGGAACAAGCCTGGGAATAGAGAAGCCCTGACATCATTGCAGGGGCTATCTCCAAGCGGAGGCTTGTCTGAGACACCGTAGCATAGTAGAAAGAGCTAATGGACCAGGGTTCAGATCTCAAGCTCTGCCATTTTCTACCTTCCACAAGCACTTGGACTTTTTTGAGCCCATGATTTCCTCTATCCGCACGCTTGCATAGGCAGTCCCCCATGCCTACCATGCCCTCCTTCCTTGTGTTTAACCTCCCAGAAGAGGGCGAATCATGGGCCCCAGAATGATCGCCTGATTCACCCCATCTTAGGGACTGCTTTGCTTCTTTTTCCATCACCCCCTGAATCAAAGGATTTGTGTGGGGCAGAGCAGTGCATGCGGAATCTGAGGGGGCCGGAAGACTGGTTTTGCCACTGGTTTTACCAGCTGTTCGCCCCTGGGCTAGATCTTACCCTCTTTGGGCCTCAGTTTCCTCATCTGTAAAATGCAAATGGCCTTGAAAGACCCTTCCGGCTCTGACTTTGTCTGAGCCTATGATTGTCTATTAGGGGAAACGGCTTCAGAGCAACAGCTGGAGAAAAAGAAGGGAAGGACTGGAGAGCCAAAGTGCCTCTAAAGCGATTCTGCATTCAACACCACGCCTAGCACACCATTGGTTCGCAGGAAATGCTAAAAGAAATCAATTCAATAGCATTGTTCTCCCCAGCTGTGAGGCAGGGCCCTGTTTTGGAAGGCGAAAACGTGGTGAGAGGCAGTAGAATCCTCCAGGGTGTGGGATTATCACAACGGGACGTGGCCTGGCAGCCAGAGTGGAAAATACTGCCAGGCTGACATTGCCCACAACTCCTCTGAGAAAAAGCCATGGTAACCACAGTAAAACCGGGGAATTATTAACAATAACAACGGCTTTTTATAGCACTTTCTTCCCTAACAATCTTCCGAGGAAGGTGGTGAAAGTTTTATTATCCCCATTTTATGGATAAGAAAACTGAGACTCACCCATAAGATCAGAGACTTAGAGCAGGAAGGGATCTCAGAGGCCAACTCCCTCATTTTACAGGTGAACCCATTGCACAGACTTTGTAAATATACCCAAGGTGGAGGTGGGCAGGCAGATGAGGAAACTGAGTATTCAGAACTTAGATCCCATCATGCCAAATTTCCTCATTTTCCAGATGAAGAAACAGAGGACCTGAGGAGTGAAGAGACTTCCACACAGCTAGTAAATGTCCGAGATAGGATTTGAACCCAGGGCCTAGAGTCAGGAAGACCTAAATTAAAATCTCAGCTCTGACATTTACTAGCTGTGTGACCCTGGATGAGTCTCTTAACCTCTGACAGCCTCAGTTTCCTGAGTAAAGGTACCTCCTACAGTTGTCAGGAAGATCAAGTGAGATAATATTTGTAAAGTGCTTAGCACATAGTAGGCACTTAATAAATCCTTATTTCCTTCCTTCCCTCTTTTTCTCCCTCCCTTCCCTGCTTCTCTTCCTCACTTCCTTTCCTCCCTTTCTTCTTCCCTCCTCTTCTTCCTTCCTCCCTCCTTCCTTCCCCCCTCCCTCTTCTCTCCTTTTCTCTCTCCCTCTCCTCCCCTCCCCCCCTCTTTCCTTCCCTCTTTCTCTCCTTCCTTCCTCCTCACTCCCCCCCCCTCCTCTCTTCCCCTTTCTTCTCCTGACTCTCCTTCCCTCCCTTCCTTCCATTTGATCATCCTATCCGCCACAAGCTGATTCAGAGAACTAAAGCACGTTGGCCCAGACCACACATCCAATAAATGGTGGGGGCAGGGTTCCAATGTAGGTCTGATGCCCTTTGGCGGGATCCCGCAGTCCACTTACGCCAGCTTTCCTCTCCGATCTCTCCTACAGGAGACGTCTTCATCCTCGTGTTCAGCCTGGATAACCGAGAGTCCTTTGATGAAGTCAAACGTCTCCAGAAGCAGATCCTCGAGGTCAAATCCTGCCTAAAGAACAAGACCAAGGAGACGGCTGACCTGCCCATGGTGATCTGTGGCAACAAAAATGACCACGGGGAGCTCTACCGCCAGGTGCCCACCAACGAGGCGGAGCTCCTTGTCTCGGGGGACGAGAACTGCGCCTACTTCGAGGTGTCGGCCAAGAAGAACACCAACGTGGATGAGATGTTCTACATGCTCTTCAGCATGGCCAAGCTCCCCCACGAGATGAGCCCGGCCTTGCACCGTAAGATCTCTGTCCAGTATGGAGACGCCTTCCACCAGAAATCCTTCTGCATGCGCCGGGTGAAGGAGATGGATGCTTATGGGATGATCTCTCCATTTGCCCGCCGGCCCAGCGTCAACAGCGACCTCAAATACATCAAGTCCAAAGTCTTGCGGGAGGGCCAAGCCCGAGAGAGGGAGAAATGCACCATTCAGTAAGAAGAGAGGTGTGAAGAGGGCAGCCCACCTAAGCAGTGCCTTAAGGGAGATGGCTCTGGAGGATGCCCCCAGCCATGCCTGGGGGAAGGGAGGGGACTGGGCAGCCATACTGCCCTCTCTCCCCTTGCAATTGAGAGCCCAACTGCACTGGTCACAAGGGCAGCAGCCCCCTGGGCTCTGTAAATATTTCTGGGTCTTCTCTGCCACCTCAACCCTCCCCTGTGATTCTCCCTTTCTCTAACTGGGATAACTGACTCCTTTCACTTGGTAGGAGATGAGAGATCCCAGTTGGGGTGAATGTGAATGGGAGCTTTCATATTTTGGAGGACAGTTTATCAGTCAGAATTCAGAAGGGGCAGAAGGCAGAATCTCCAGGCCTTTCTCCAGAACTCAATCCAACTGAGCCTCTGAACTCACCTCATGGGTTACTGTCTCTTGGGTGAGGGCTGGTCAGAGCTTTGGGTCTGGGGCATTCGGGCCATCGAGGTTGAAGTCCTTTGCTTTGGAGAGGGGTGCTCTGAGCAAGAGGGAGGTGAGACCTATCTCAACGGCTGGGAGACCCCACACCAGGAATTTGTGACCTTATTTTCTGCTGTTGATTTTTTTTTCTTTCCTGCTGATTCCCTCTCCCCATCCCCCAACCAAAGTAGTGGTATTTGTGTGTTTGATATGAAGTGTGTTTGATGTACCAAGAATATTTATCTTCTGAAGCTCCTTGTTTTATCGTTTGTCCTTTTTCCTGTGGCTGTTGTCCCTTGAGTGCAGACAGAAACGGACACCAAAACCATTGAACCATGCTAAGGAGGCCTGTACCACCATCCTTAGTCAGCCCATCTGCCACCTGTTCCCTTGGGGGAGCAGGGAATGCCTTCCCCAACAGCCCACACTTACCACCTGCCTTCTCCAGACAGAAGGCCCCTGCCCCTTTGCCCCATCTCCTCTGCAGAAGCTGAGAATTCTGACGGCCCAAGTCCAGCTCTGTTCCCAACTTCTCCTGGGGGCAGTGACCTTGGGCAGCCTTGCTCTGCTCTCACAGCCTCATTTTAACCCATCTGACCAGCAAAAGGGGTTCCTTTCTTTTTCATACACAGATTTGGGGAGATTCCTGAGCAGAGTCCTGATCTTAAGCTGGGGCCCCAGTCTAGTGGAAAGGATAGGGGATTTGGAATCAGACGAACTTTAGCTGAAATTCAGCTCTTCCACTTACCTATATGACCTAGGGCTGGTCATTCTCACTCTCTGGACCTCAGTTTCCTCATCTGTAGGATGATGGTATTAGATTGGATGACCTCTGAGGTCCTTTCCAGCCAGGATTAAAAAAAAATAACAACTGCCCATCCTGTAGTAATTTAATGTTTGCAAAGTGCTTCATTTTCCTTGTAACTATCCAGTGAGGAGAAGGGTGGGAAGTAAACATTATTATACATTTTGTAGATGAAAAAACTGAGGCTCAGAGTGGGCACACACTTGACTGGGGTCAAATGGCAAAGCAGAGAATTGAATCTAGGTCTTCTGACCACAACCCTGGGGGCTCTTTGCAGAGCACCATCCCAAGAACCTGCATCTGGTCACAACGGGAGTGGCCCATGGTATCCCAATGTGGACACAAGGGGTGGGATTGACCCATGAGTCTGTGGCATAGGGAGGTGCTTTATAATTGGATGTGATTATATTCTGTAAACACTTCAAGCTCCATAGATCATGGATTTAGAGAATTAATAGAAGAGACCTTAGGGATCTTCTAGGCCAACCCTTTCATTTTACAGATGGAGAAATTGAGGCTGGCAAAATACTTCTTGTTTCTCCAGCATTTTAGTATTTACAAAGCACTTTCCTGCTGACAGCTCAGTAAGGCTGTGCAAGTATTTTTTTTTCAATCTTCATCTTACAGATGAGAAAACTGACACTCAGCGAAGTTAGGTGATTTATCCACGATCGCAAAGCTAGGATGCGTCAGAGCAAAGATTTGAGCCCAGGTGCTCTAACTCCAGAGGAAAGGGGACTAGATTTGGAATCAGAGGATTTGGTTTCAAATCCTAGCTCAACACCTTCTAAAACCTGTGAGCTTGGAATCTGGGTCTCAGTTTCCCCAAATGTAAAATGAGGGGTTGGACTATGGTGTTAAATCTATGACTCAAATAACAGTGGTTTTTTTTTTTCCATTTCCCTGTGATTTCTGCCTAAGCCCAGAGGGCTGGGGGATGAGAGGGGCTGGGGAGGGAGTGACTGCCCCAAGATCACATGATTAGTCACTGGCAAAGACAGGTTTAGAACCAAGCATTGCACCTCATGCCCCCCAGCCAGTTCTGCTCCTTTTCCCCACCCACCTGCCCAATCTAGGTGCTCTCCTATGCAGTGAGGGAGAGAAGTGGGAGGTAAGTGTCATTATTCCCATTTTGCAGATGAGAAAACTGGACCGCAGAGAAGCCAAGAGACTTAACCGGCATCACACCGCCAGTAGATTACAAAGTGGAGATTTGAACCCAGGTCTTCTGGCCACAAGCCTTCAGGCTCTTTCTCGAACACCATCTCAAGAACCTGCATCATGTCTTGAGAGGACTATGGACTTAGAGCTGGAAGAGACCTTTGAGGTCAAGTCCATTTTACAGATGAGAAAACTGAGCCCCAGGGAAGTTAAGTGATCTGCCCAAGGTCACATAGATAGAAGCATCAGACATAGGATTTTAACCCATCTCTTCTGACTCCAGAGTACTTGGGTTCATAGGATTTCAAGCTATAAAGGACTTTAGCGAGTGGATTATACATTAGCCCTGTTTTGCAGATGAGCAAACTGAGGTACAGAGAGTTTAAGTGACTTGACCAAAGTCACAAAGATAAGAAGCAGTGGAACCAGATCTTCTGATTCCAAACTGAAAGCTCTTTTCAATCAATACACAAGACTTCCCCCCATTCATGTACTGGTTGCATCTGTAAACAGTCTGTAAAGAGAATGACTCTTCTTCATATGCATATATATGTGGATATGTATATATATATATTATATATATATATATATATATATGATGTATGCACAAATTTCAATGGAGAGGTCCATGCACACTTCAACTCCATCCCTATATACATTTCATTCACATTCGGGACCTCATCCCCTGCTCCTGGGCATCTACCTGATGTGGGCAGGTGAGTTCTCAGAGACATAAATGCTCTCTCCATTGTGATTTAACAAGGACCCACCTTACATCCCTGCTCCCCAGCCCTTTTGGGTTAGACGGAAACAGAATGGGAACAGTTCCACTCCTTTCCCTAGCCTCCTTCTTCTCATTCAGTCCTGTATGGCAGGGGCACATGGCCCATCCAGGAGCAGGCCTGAGAGGAGAGCTGGGAAGGGACCCCTGGGGTCATCTAATCTGATCCTCATTATCCAGAAGAGGTAAGTGAGACCCAGAGGGGATGAGCACCCAGGGTCACACAGGAGGCAAGCCGTGAGTCAGGATTTGACTCCAAGTCCAGTGAGTTCTTCCGACTACCACCAGGGACAGAGCCACCATCTGGCTAAGTCCCTGTGACTGTCTTTTGGAGACTTTGCGCCTTTCCTATAACAAGATAAATGCTTACCTGCCCTGTAGTACAGAATTTCCGTGCAATTTTAACAATAATAATACCAGCTGTTTCTATAGCTATGTCAGCTGGGCAAATCTATTTCCTTGGAAAAATTCTGTGAGGTTACCAGGGTGAGTGTTACATGCCCATTTTACAGATGAAGAAACAGAATCTCACAGAGGTAAAGGGACTTGCCCCCATACACAGCCAGGAGGAACTGGACCTGGATTTGAACCCAGGGACCAACCGCAGGTCCAGGGCTCTGTTCACAACACTGTCCTTTCTCTAGGGTACATACGAAAAAGTGTCCCTGCTTGCACCCCAGCCCACTGTCCACTTTGTCCCAAGGAGGCTACTCGGGGTTTCTCAGCTGCCCTTTCCCCCACCTCTCCAACTCCCCAGTGTAAATATGTACAATGGATAATTAAAGCTGACTTATTTATAAACCTCTCCCTCACCTTATATTTCCTCTCACCAAGACAAGACTTCCCTTTGGGATCTCAAACACAACACAGGTCAGGGAGTCTGGGAAGATACAGTTAATGACAAAAATAACACTATTAAGAGTATTAATATTGTTAAAAGTAACATTATTAGGAATATTCTTAATGGATTTTAATGTTATTAATGATTAAGGTTGTTCTTAATTGTTATTAATATTATTCATTAGTATTAAGAATATTATTAATATTTATGGCTCTTGTTAATATTCTTAATACTAAAGACCTTTCCCAGATTAGGTCTTAATCACCAATAGCCTGGGAATGGGGTCATCCAGAGCTGGAGGGGACCTCAGAGGGCATCGAGTTTCACCATGTTATTTTACAAATGGGGAAACTGAGGACCAGGAAAGTAAAGAGATCTGCCCAAGGTCCCATGGTCATAAGTGTTAGAAGATTGCTCCTCTGACCCCAGCACCTGTGCCCCTTCCACCATCCCGCTCTCCCCTCCCTACTTGTCACCTCCCCACATCGCACCGGTGATGCTCCTTTCTATGGCTTGGTCATTGTGTCTCTCAGTGCTTAAGCAGATCAGACATTGGGATCCCAAGGTTGAGTCTTTGGCTGTGAGCCCCTTATGCTGGTGGTGGCCAGAGGGGACACCGAGCTAATTCTTTGCCTTATGTGTGAGATGACGTGGTGTGATATGTCACAGCCTGTGTGTACCACCACCTTAGACTGTCAGCCCCTTGAGGGCAGGGAACCAGTCTGCCTGTGTGCTCTGTATAGTGCCTAGCCCTGTTGTGAGGAGCTCAATAAATAGTGGACTGCAAGATCGTCTTCTTTGTCTTTGAAATAGGAAGTAGCAGATTGGGGTTGGAGGTCCGGTTGCATTGTTTGGGGTAGGAACGGGGCACACAGAGTGGAGTTCCTCTAACAGTGAAAAATCTTGGTGGCTGAGAAAAACAACAGCTAGACACCAAGCCTAGTTCCATACACAATGGATAGGATACCAGCTTGAACTCAGGAAGGCCCAAGTTCGAATCCTATCTTGGACACTTACTATGTAGTCGGGGACAAATCATTTCACCTCAGTCTGCCTCAGTTTTCTCATCTGGAAAATGAGGATCATAATAGCACCTTCCTCTCTGGGTTGCTGCAAGGACCAAATGAGGTAATATTTGTAAAGTGCGTTACAAACCTCAAAGTGTTATATAAATGCTACCCGTTGAATTATTAAATTAAGTTTTGTGAGATAAGTGGCTTAATTTCTCCAGTTTCATTCTCTAGAAAAGAAAGAAAACAGCATTAGCTCTCTCTACCTAACCCACAGAGGTGTTTTGAGGCTAAAAGTAGACAATTCATGTGTGGGTTTTACTTTAAAATGTAGAAAAGGATGTCTATGAGACCATAGCTCAAAGATTTAGAATTAGAAGGGACCTTAGACATCATCCAGTCATTTTACAGATGAGGAAACTGAGACCTAGGGAGGTTCAGTGACCCAGGGTCACACAGCTAGTAACAGAACTGAGATTTGAACTTGCGCCCTCTGGCTCCAAATTCAGTGCTGATATTGAAGTGAGGAAATATTTGCTACTATTACTGCATCACTTACGCGTATATTATATATAAAATGTTATTATTAAGAAGTTATAGAAACCCTTCTTGGTATCTCCCTACCTTTGCTTCTCTTGACAACTTTAGAATATGGAATGTCAGGGGCAGCTAGGTGGTGCGGTGGATAGAGCACCGGCCCTGGAGTCAGGAGGACCTGAGTTCAAATCCTGCCTCAGGCACATAACACTTGCTAGCTGTGTGACCCTGAGCAAGTCACTTAACCCCAACTGGCCTAAAAACTAAAAAAAAAAAAAAACCTTAAAAAAAGAATATGGAATGTCAAGATCCAGTCTACTGGGTCTCCACAAATAGAGGACGTGATGAGTGGGGAGGGGGAAAGCACAAATCTCTGAGTAATGCACCTAGGGTTCTGTTTCCTCCTTCTGGCTCTGCTGCTTGTTTGCTGAGTGACCTTGGGCCAATTACCTAACCTCTCTAGGCTCCACCTCCCTCATTAATAAAGTACAGAGGTTGGAATAGTCACTTCCATCTTTAAAAATATGAGTCAATGGGTTTATTAGGATTTGGAGTGAGAAAGAATCTTAGATTCTTGAAAGATCATTTGGTCCAGTAGTCCTTAAACTTTTTCT